GATATTATAAAAATTAAAATTAGTATGTTTGTGACTACTCATATAAGATGTCCACCCTGAGGTGCTTTTGATCTAATTAAAAGTGTCAGGATGGATACTAGGGGCTAATAGAAAGTGGCAATAGGATTAGGGATGAGGTGGCTGACAAGAGCTGAGACAGCCTCTAAAAGTATCCATTCTCTACAACTGTCTACAACTCTTGTTGCAGTCTCTTTGAAGTGATTGTGATCCTGTCTACAGGAGTTCTTACTTGAGCCATTGTCACGTTGTGTTGTTGTAGCCAATCTATATATTCCCCTGGGCACGAGACCCTTGTATAGTGGCCATGGCCTCATCTCGTCTGAGGAAGTGACAGTCAAAGTCACTCTGTTCTTATCAAGAGATCATACCATCATTTTGTACGATCCCTTATGTTTGGGTGGGTCTTTTGAGTCTTGCTAATTTAAGGCATGGTGTGACCATTTTGGGGGAGAGGAGGCACAAGGAAGGGAAGTGATGTAGAGCTCAGAAGACCTGTAGGAAGGTGCCCTCTGCTTGGCACATAGGATGGGAGTAATTCATCCCAGCAGAGCATCAAGATATGGAGATGTTCTGTTTATAGTGAAACCTCCTTCAGACTCAGCAATTGCTTCTATCTGTTTGTTTGTTTGTTTTATTTCGGGTTTTTTTTTTTTTTTTTTTTTTTTTTTTGGCTTTGTTTGGTTTTCTCAAGACAGATTTCCTTGGCTTCTCAAACCCGAAGGGTAACGGCCACTCATTCAAGCTGCAGGGAAAAGTTAGAATGAGAGACAGTTTGTAGTTAATTTTAATGTTATTGTTTCCAGGTAAATCAGAGAACAGTTTTAACTGCACACCACTTGGATAGATAGGTGCCTGAACATCCATGACTTTCGGTTTTTCCCCCAAAATTTCAAAAATAATCAGTTTTCATGAGTTGGTCTTTTTGTGCCTTTTAGCTTTCCTTCATCATTGCTACTTTATTACCAAATCCCCCTAATCCTGCAGAGTGTGTTTCAGCCACATTTCGAAAAATGATGGTGAATACGAAGTGAAGATAAATCTGAAGACTTCATTCTAAGCAGTGAATGTTTATTGCATAGTTACTATTTATTAGCCCTGTTCTTGGGGAAAGTTTACCAACTGAATAAAGAGACTGAAGTTTGCTGGGACTCTTTTACAGGGCTCTTGGAATGGAACAGGATTATAGGTCTAAGTTTATAACTTTATTATCAGGAATAGAATAAATCATGGTCACCGAAAAATAGCAAGTGATAAACAAGCCAATAAAGTTCCAAGATGAATTCGCGGAGGGGAAGGAGTAATTATTTGAATTATATTTGCTTGTTTAATTAACATTTATTGTCTTCTGGGTAACAGGCACTGCTGGGTACTTTTACATCTGCTATTTTATTTAATTACAAAGAGTTCTTCACTTGCAGATAAGATTTCCCAGGGGCTTCTCTGGGCTAATGAGTTAGCCTGCCTGGTGTTTCTCAGGCCCAGCTGCTCATGGAGATCACCTAGGGAGCTGCAGGCCATCTGGTGCTGGGGTTTCCTCCTCTGGGATCCTGTTTACCTGCTCAGGGTTGGCACCCAGCAGCAGCACATCAAAACCTTGGACAGGCTAGCAAAGTCATTCCACTCGCTGAAGAAAAGACCTCCTTAAACTTCTCAGCAATAAGCAACTGTTGTGGAGTTCGGCAGCTGAGTTTGTGGCGCCATGTGGAATACACCCAACACCTGTTTCTTCCTTTGTCTGTTTCCCCTTGAGTGGGGGTGTGGGGAGAGTCAGGATAATTATGGAATGAAGCAGGCCTGCAAACCGTTTCCCGAAATGTCTCAGCCCCAGTTTTTTCTAGGTTAACTTCTAGTCTGACTTTGCTCTGTTGTGTTGATCAGGTATCATGTTTAGGTGACTTGCTTGATAAGAGACTGTGTCTATGTGGGGTGGAGTTGCGCTTATGTAGAGGTCAGAGGAGTCAGTTCTCCCCCTAGAACTCAGGTTGTCAGGTTTGGTGGCAAGCACCTTAACCCACTGAACCTTCTGCTGGCACTCTTTCTTATGAGAGACAGACAGATACACAGACGCACAGACAGAGGGAGGGGGAGAGACAGAGGGAGAGGGAGACAGATGAGATGGCACGTGCCTTGGTGCAAGTGTGGAAATCGCAGGACAAGTTCATTGAGTCAGGTCTCCCACCTTTATGTGGGTCCTAAGGATTGAGCTCAGATCTTCAGGCTTGTGTGACAAATGCCTTTGCCCCTTGAACCATATTGTTTTCTTACTAAAGTTCTCTTCTTCCACCATGTGAGTCCTGGAGATAAAATTCAAATCATCATGTTTGGCAGCAAGCATCTTTACCTGCTTAGCCATTTTGATACCATCACCACCACCTTGTTTTGAGACAGCATCTTTCCTTGTCCTGTAGCTTACCTGGCTGGATCTTGCTCTGGCTGGGGCCATCCCAGACCTGGGTAGGCAGGATCCACTGGTAAGCTACTCCCTCCATATCTAGTCTCAGCCCTCTTACTAACTATGTCTTTGGTTGGCCTAAAGACAAGTCTGATTTGCATAGGCCATTGACCCTGAGTGGATACTTTCCTGCCCCTGGACAGCTGGGACTTGTCTTGTAGCTGTCACTGTGGATAGGACATCCTTGGGAAAGCCCTGCTGGCTCCTCACCGCTTTCATCTGCCTGAGATAATGGAAACCCTTGCCTGCCCACACCTCCTTGTTCCCTCTAGCCATCTTAACCTGCTCACTCGTAATTGCTTCTCTTCTACACTTGCTCCTCCTCTGAGAGCCCTGGGTGGCTGGGAGGCTCAGTGGGTGGCTGGGAGGCTCAGTATGTGGCCTCACTCTGAAGCCACAATACTTGGCACCATGGGTGCTTGGGGGCTTTGTATATCTTCACTGTACCAAAGGCTGCTGGAGCTCAGAGAGAGCAGGAGCCTTGACCCAAGTCAGGTGACTGGGGGCCTGTGGTGAGTCTGCTGCTGTAGCCCAAGTTTTCTCTGCAGGAAACTTGGGAGTGAGAGATAGTCACCTGTCTTTAGATGCCACCTTCCTTCTGCCCAGGCACCAAGTCCAGGGTCTGTATCTAAGTTGTGCAGTGGTCAGCTTCCTTAGTGTTCTTAAAAACAAAGCAAGCCAAGACTTTCATGGGAGTTCCCAAGCCTTTCTCATTTCTGGGACTTTGTGCAAGGCCTTAAAAAGTTTCCCAAGCAAGGAACTTGTCCCTGTTTTCTGTTCCAAAAAATCTGGTCAGAGAATCAGAACAAGAAGGGATGGGAGAAGTGGCAGTTGTGTGTTTTTTGTGTCTAGTACTCATGTACACGTATAATTTGCTTATGGTATATTATGTACATGAGGTTTGCTATGACATGGGTGCAGTATGTGTGATATATATATATGCATGTGTGGTTTATTCATGATGTCTGTCTGCTGTGTGATATACATATACAGGGTATATGAGTTATATGATGCATGTATACAGTATGATGCATGTATGTGGTACATGCATGCATGATATGCATGTATGTGTGCATATGGTATGTGGTATGTGTTCACATTGTACGTGATATGTATGTTGTCTGTTTAAGTGGAATGTGTATGATGGGTATTCATGGTGTGTATGGTGTCTGACACACTTGTACATATGTGGTATATGTTTCATTTGTACATAAGTGTGATATGGTATGTGATGTGTTAAGTTTCTGTTGCGCTTGTATGTGTGCAGAGTGCATGGTGCAGTGTGGTATATAGGTATACGATGGGTGTAGAGTGTGTGGTGTGGGTTTTACTTGTATATGCTGTGTACACGTGTGTGATATGGTATGGTGTGTGCTCATTGTATATGGACAAGTGTGCATACACATTTGAGGACAGCACTGTGAGCATGGCTTAGACAGCCTTTCAGTTGAGCTTTCTCTTTCTTTAAGCCACTTGTGATGAGTTTAAAACAGAATGTTAAGGCGTACAAGAAGTACAAGAGGAAGGCACTTGCCTTCCATGTGAACAGACGCAGAGCTGGCAAAGCACTCGGGTGGCAGCAGCAGATAGTGGCCTCTGGAGACAATGAGGCTGGGCTCCACACCTTTTGTGAATAAAATGAAGCAGGTTAAGTGGCTTCCGGTAGTTTCAGAACTCAATGAAAAGCTAAGTGAAGACACTAAGGCAGCGGAAGATTTGATCAGAGGAAAGGGCACTCTGTTCCACCTCCATCTGGCATGAGTGTGTCTAGACGCACCTCTGCCTCCATTTCACGATGAATGCCAGCCGTGTGTTAAGAGGGATGTTGTTGAACTCTGGTGTTCTGCAAACTCTCTTTGATTCATAAGCGTTTGCTCTAAGAGATTTCTGAGAGTGAGAGCTTTGAGAGCACTGCATGTTCGCTTTCTTCTCTGTGCAGAATAGAAACCCCAAACAGGAAATGATTCAGGGACAGAATGACTGAGTTGGGTTCAGAGTCTGGTTGAGTTGAGCATTTTTCTGGGACCAGGGCATCTGGAGCCACCCAGAGTTTCAGGATCCTCTCTCTTAGAACTTGGAATCTCAGCAGAAAGCATGGCCCCATACCACCTCTGCCTCTGGGACTGTGGAGTCCAGCCTGAATGGCCCTTATTTTTGAGACAGGGCTCTAAACCAAACAAAAAGAAAACAAAATTGTGGCTTTCCTGGAACTTGTTATGGAGACTATGTTGACCTTGAACTCATAAGAAATCCTCCTGCCTCTGCCTTCCAAGTGCTGGGATCAAAGGTGTGCACCACTATGCCTACCACTTACGTAGTTCTTGAGTGTGATCTTTGTAGGTAACACCATCTACAATTTGGATGCTTTAAGATGGTCTATGTAAATGGCACTTAAAGTTTTTCTCAGGCCATGTTGATGGTACTGGGAGAGAAGAAATAATAGTAAAGGCCAGGATTTACTAGAGGATTTCAGAGTGTTGAGGGCTGTTTGTAGCTTGCTTAATCCTTGCTGTCACTCTTTTTACAGGAGAAGAAACTGAGGCCCGGAGTTTGAGTAATCCCTTCAAGGGTACCAGATTGGTAAGTAACAGAGCTGGCATGGGACCCTAGCCACCTGCCTTTAGATCCTGAACTCTCCACTCTCACTCTGAAGAAGCAACAGAGTGGGTGGCAGTGGCCCGGATGTGGCTTTTCACTTCATTAGAAGCATCCCTGCCCCCACTGAAGTGACAGCACATTGTTTCTTTTCAGCCTATGAATGTTGAGAATCTGCAGGCTTTTGAGTCAGATTAGTAATTTAAATAACTAATTTTGGAGGCAAGGTGATATTTCTGCACTTCCTATCATAGGTAACCCTGGCAGCAAACCCTGGAACATAGTCATCTCTCACAGCAGCCCTTCAAAGGTAAAGTTCAGAGGAAGGAAAGACATTGCCCCAGTCACTCTGTTATTGGGGGCAGAGTCAGTTTTCACACCTGACTTACCAGCCAGTGCTGTTAACCAGTGTAAATTTTTTTGTTACCCTTTGTGGGTGCTTTTGGGAAAATCATTCGCCTTGAACTCAAGTGGCCCCTGGCTGGCAGGGCCCTTAGGTCTTCTGTCTCGTTTTCCTGTGTCTCTCGGCCTCCTCACCACCTTCCGTATTGCTGGCCAGCTTGTGGTGAGGCCTCAGCATTGCATGGAACCCTTAGCGCAGTGTCCCATGGCAGCCTCTGCTCAGGCAGGCATGCTTTTAACGATATTATTTATTTGTTTGCTTGGTTTTTGTTTTGTTTTTTTAAGACAGTTTCTCCTTGTAGCCTTGCCTGTCCTGTAGACCGTAGATGAGGCTGGCCTCGAACTCATAGAGATCCACCTGCCTCCCAAAGTGCTCCTATTAAGGTGTATGCCACCACTGTCCAGCATTAATGTTTAATAGAGCTATGGTGGTATGCATATGGTAAAACATAAATCTTATTCTTACAGTTGATGAACTTTTAATATCAAACTCAATTTAACTGCCCCAAATCAGGGGACTCAGTAGTCCCATTATTCTAAGAAGCTCCTTGGTATTGCTTGAGTAATAGGTACTTCACTGATCTTTATTGTGTTCATGTTTTTAACTTACCCAGATGTAAGCCTAATTGTTCAACGAAACAACCTGAAGGCAAAATACTTTAAATAGCATAGGTGACCATGCCATTTCACTTGGCGGACATCTGTCTTGGAGGAAGTAATGATAGGAGGCATGGGTCTGCTACTCTTTCTGTTAGTCTTCGTTCTTTGTGTGTTTTAAAACTTGAGCATCTTACGCCATCAAGTACCTCCTGTATTTATAGATTGTAATTATCACACAGCATACCCCCTAAATCCAAACCAGCTCTTCCATATGGTACTCAGCTTAAGATAGTCCAGTGATAAAAGAAATTCTATGTTGTATGTCATAAAAGATACTCTGCCAGTCTTCAGTGTGAGGCCTTATGGGATTTTCAAACCACTTTGGAGTTTTCAGTTTTTGTATTACATGCAGACATTAGGTGCTAAACCTGGAGTAAGCTGCATTTCATAAAAGATTGTATGTTTACTATTGGGTGGGGAAGGGACAGCGTCCTGCAAGCAACTTTTGGAGTCTGTTCTCTCCATTCATCTCTGTGGGGGCTCAGGGACTGAGCTCAGATCACCAGGCTCATATGGTGAATGAATTTATTTACTGAGCCATGTCTGCAGCCTGTAAGCTATAATTTTAATGCCAGTAGAACTGAAGAATGAATGCATGGATTGGGTTTGGTGACCTAGAAGTCTTTTGTGATATATCTAGGTGTTTTGCATAAAACTTTGCGGTACAAATGCAGAGTTGATGGAAATAAAAGCACTGCATCTTGGGGAGTCTGTAAGAACTCATATTGCAGAATCAACCAGAAATTCAGAGAGACCCGTAAGCGAGTGGTTATGTATGAGCAGAAGCTACGACACACGTGGTGGGGCTTTTGTGATCCCACATTCCAGTACTGGGGTTTTAATTCCACAGTGAGTCTAGAAGGGAGGCCTGTCTGATAGAAGGTAGAATTGAGTATCCAGGAACCTTGAAGGTCTGATTTCTTTATGCAAATAGGGCTAGAAAACCTCATTATCTGGAAATTTACTTTGAGTTGAAAGGATGTTACCCACAAGAAAAAAAAAGACGTGGTACTGTATATATGTATATGTGATATATACCTGTTTGCTGAATCTATATTTTATTACTTATGACATGATATCCTTCACATATCCTTCAGCTAATGTGAAAATTGGTTTAATCCATACCACAAACACAAACTCAGTTCTAAAGGATATTTTCATCAGTGCATTCCTGACAGGACTTGCATTAAAAAGAAGTGACAACCCCTATAGAAGTTAAAAACTACAAACTACCCAGGAACAAGCCTTTCCAAGATGCTGGTAAATTTAACCATTCAATAAAACCATGAAATGGTATGTTTAAAATGGTTGAGGACTAATGATATCAAAAAATAAAGCAAGGGGGAAAATCTGAAAACCAGCCAAAATGAAATGAAATGAGTCATTTTATTTAAAATGGTTAAAGGAACCTCTAGATATAAAGAGAAAAATGAGCAACTATAGGACGGTATTAAGATTGTCCTTTATTAAGTGTATGCCAGACACTGTTCTGAGTTTTGGTATTAACTCATTTAATCCTCAGAAGTAAATTGTGAGTGGGCATTAGCATGGCCATCTGTATGTTTGTTTACTTTATATCTCTTACATCATTTCTCCTCTACTTTCCTCCCTTCAGCCCTTCCGATATCCTCCCCACTCTCAACTTCATTGCCTCCTTTTGTGTATTATTTTTACAAACATATGGACAAATGTATTAATACAAAGTGCTGAGCCCATTTTTATTTTTTTCCTGTGAATATGGTTTCAGGGCTGGCCACTTGTATTGGTTAGCCAATGAGGGGCTGAAACCTGGGAGGGGCTAGTTCTCCCTCTCTCAGCAGTCATTAGTTCCCTGTAGTGCTTTGTCTAGGGATTGGGTTGCATGAGATTTTCCCCCCTTCTGTGTTAACGTGTCTGTTGACATTGTTGTTCTGTTCTTATTCATGCAGCCCTTTCTAGGAGTCACATAGCAGACTTGTTGGTACTCTGACTTACAAGCTTTCCACCTTCTCACCCCCTCTTCTCTAGTGTCCCCTGAGCAATAGGTATAGGAGATATGCTGTAGAAGTATCCACTGGAAATGGGCTCCCTACAACCTATTGATCTTTGCAATATGTCTAGTTGTCGTCTCTGTTTTGTAGATGAAAAAACTAATGCAGTTAAATCCTGTTATTCATAGTTGCACACTGGTGCCAGTCAGTGGCAGAGCTGGGATTTGACCCCAGCTAGAATTAACAAGAATAATCACCAAATGGTGATGTAAATATGAAAGAAGAATATGAGAGAGAGAGAGAGAGAGAGAGAGAGAGAGAGAGAGAGAGAGAGAAAACTACTTCTTTTGCAGTATAGTGGGACTAAAGGACAGGCACATTAGGAAACATAAGAATTAGATGTCTTGAGATTTCCTGTAATCTTTGTGTGCTAAGTATTTGTGAGCAGGTGAGCATCAACGGTTCAGAAATGCAGGAAAGGGTGGTAGAGCCTCAGTTTGCACAGTAGTATATATTGATGTCATGATAAATGTTTACAGCAGTCTCTTTAGGAAAAGAAAAAAAAGCTGGTTTTGTAGCATTTGGTGATTTCTTTTTTTTAGATTTGTTTTTATTTCTTAATTTTACTTCTTTTTGTGAATGGGTGTTTTGCCTACATGTCTGTCTTTGCACCATGCAGCGCCAATGGAGGCCAGAAGAGGGTGTCAAATTCTCTGGAACTGGTTACAGATGGTTGTTAGCCAACCATGTGGATGCTGGCAGATTGAACCTGAGTTCTCTGGAAGAACAGCCAGTGTTGTTAACCAGTGAGCCACTCGCTAGTATTTGCTGCTTTCTATGGTGTAAATATTTCCATAATGACCAGTTTCACGCTAGCAATACAATGCCTCTAAACTTGGAGTTGAGAAGCTGTGAACGTAGTCAGATCTCTTGAAACAACATGAGCTGGCTCCAGCACACCATTGGCTCACGTGGTCCTGCTATTTTTAAGCTCTGATTCTGGGTGCACCTAGGAGTGGAATTTCCAGGAAGTAGTCATGTCATGGGTGATTCATAGGGGCAAGAAGAGACAATGGGACAGGAGCAGAGCTCTGCCCTTCTTTCTTCCCCTGTACTTAAAACAGGAAAGAAAGCAGCCTTTTGTGAACGTGGACAGAGGCATGGCATGGTCCTTGCACTGTTGGTTAGAGTGAAAATGATTACTGCTTTGAAGAGTAACTGGCAGTATCTATCCGAGTTCCAAGTGTGCATGCTTTCTGACTCTACAGTTCTGTTTCAAGGTTTTGTTTGTTTTGAGGCAGATTCTCATTATGAAGCCTAAGCTTCCCTAGAATTTGCTGTCTAACCCAGGCTGGTCCCCAGTTTGTGATCCTCCTGTCTCAGCTCCCCAGGTGCTTCAATTGCTATAGCAAGATCCTGGAAGCAACTTAGATCTATATCAATAAGGATTGATATAGATTAAATGTATATCCTCAAAGTCAGATATTATCACTGCTGCTGTTCAGAATCGTAAGCTAAGAAGAAATGGGTTCCCGATATGTTTTTTTGTTGTTGTTGTTGTTGTGGTGAATTAAATTTGTTCTGTGACAACTGAGGACACTGACTTCTCTCCCTCAGAATCTATCAATAGCCAATGGTTCATCAGGGAAGGGGTCTATCCCATGTGTCCCTCTGCCATGCATGACTGACTGTGGACAGAACAAGTCCTCTGTGGACCCAGTTAAGGCAACTATAGCTTCCATGAGTTCATGTCTACATTAGCTTTTTGATGTCCAAGAGACAGTGTTTTGTAGTCCTTCTCCTTACCTTCTGGCTCACACATTTTTTTCTTCTCCCTCTTCCATGATGTTCCCTGAGTTTTAGAAGGAGGGATATCAATGTTCTTTTGATAGCTGAGCACTTAGTTGCCCCTTTTTTTCTCAGTACTTGAGCAGTCATAAGTCTTTGCATTCA